ATCTTTAGGATATTAAGTAAAGATCATGTTGCATGAAGATATTTTGTAAATTTCCTACCGTAAATATATCAAAACTTAATTTTTGATTAGTAATATGCATTGCTAAGAACTTCATTTGGACAATTTTAAAAGCGATTTTCTCAATATTTTGATTTTTTTGCACCCTCAGATTCCAGATTTTCAAATAGTTGTATCTCGGCCAAATATTGTCCTATCCTAACAAACCATACATACATTTTGAAAAATTGACACTTAAGACTGGTTTTGTGGTCCAGGATCACATATTATATTTTATATGTGAATTATAGCTTATAACTTATAGATTGTGTCTCTTGGATTAAACCATAACTATGGATAATTTCCACAATGTCTTCATTAATTTTTTAAAGCATCAAAGTTTTGGTTGAATGGACTTTCATTACTAATATCTTTTGTGTTTCGACACTTTTATTGATATAATCACATTTTTTTCCATTTTCACAATACTGCCAGTACTACAATCAATATTTTATTTACTTCTTTATTTATGTGTGCATCATTCAAATAATTGTTCAGTGAGGAAGAAGTTTGCCTAAATAAGTGCAAACTCTCACAAATATTGGAATTTCTCAGTGCAGTCGTTTCTACAAGGCAAAGAGAAGTGAATCACACAAGTATGTCTTTATGTATATAAAAAGTCAAAATATGAAACCATGTCTTTATCAGCTGACTTCCTTCTCCTTCACTCTGCACTCAATACAAAGCCTAAAAACTGTCCTGTTGAGTTTAACTACACAAGAAATGTGAGTCAGGAGGCCTCAAAGAGCTGAGTGAGTGAGTGTCACTTGACTATTGCCCATAGACTTAGGAGCCGATTACTAAACCATATGATTCATCTAATCCTACAGGCTTGTCACAATCCTCACAGAGACTCCCTGACATGTCTCTTTCTGTTTCCAAACAGGTGACAGGTTGCTCATTTGGAAATACTTCTGAGGTTAAAATTATTTTGAAGCATGAACCAACATCAGTTGACTCGGTTAGTAACCAAACCAAAGGCTTGGAATGTTTTCGGAAAGAGTGGATGTATATTATAATCACATAAGGCTGAAGACACTTTGTTCCCACTGTTATTCTATGCATCCAAGATTCAAGGGAACAGTAACATTATCTGACATGATTAGCTGAAAGGCAGAAGTTGGTTGTTGGGGGCTAGCTGTATTACATGACTGTTCAAATGTTTGGGGTCAGTAGGATTTTTTAAAATGTTTTAAAAAGAAGTCTCTTATGCTCAACAAGGTTGCATTTATTTGATCAAAAATACAGTAAAACAGTAAAACTGTGGAATACATTTTTACAATTTAAAATAATTGTTTCTATTGAATAAGTGTAATTTATTTCTGTGATGCAAAGCTGTATTTTCAGCATCAGTATTATTAACAGTTATTAAGATTATTAACAGTGTTTATTTGGGGGGGTAAAAACCAACATACTGACCCCAAACTTTTGAATAGTAGTGTATACTTTAAGATTAAATATAAAGTATATCTTTATATTCTCTTTATATAATCTTTCAAATATAAATATTAAAATTTAAAAAAGTAATTTTACATGGCTGGCTACATTTTTTGGTGGGGTGAATTTAATCATTTGTTTTTAAGTGTTTATAATGGTTGCCGTGTCCCTTAAAGGGGTCATGAACTGAGAAATCAAATTTCCGTGCTTTTGCATATGAGAGAAGCAGGAGAAATAAAGCGTGCTTTTCATAGGTAGGCTAATAAAACGTAATTTTGTGGGGAAAACATGGAAATAGTTTGTCCTTTTTATGCTATTATTTATTAGCTATATTTATTTGCTTATTCAATATGTATTTGGGTTTTGGTTCTTCTGCTGTTTTCCGGATTATAAATCAAATTTTTTTATCATCTGAAACATGCTGTGATTTATATTCCAAAGCGACTTATATAAAGCAATCGACGACAAGCGCAAAGCGCGCACATTTGGATTGCTGCATTTCCCACACACCACTAGTTTCAGTTTCGCTTTAAATAAATTTGTTTAGGCTTGGCATTTATAATAAATATTGTTTATAGTGAATGAGACTATAATTTCTGGTTGTGTTATACTTATATTTTTTCTTCCTTCTCTTCTGAATGCTACTAAATTTAAAGGATTTGTTGTGGAGTGAGGGGAACAAAAATACATGTTCATAATATTTGTACAATATACATTATACATATACATCAATCGACTTATATATGCTCATAAAAAAAACAAGTTAGAGATGGTACAAGTACACACACAGTACAGTAGTAACTAAATGTCAATTATTTAAATAAATAAATAAATAAATTAAGATATATATATATATATATATATCTCAAACTGCTTCATTTGTCATGCATATACTATGCGGCCTTCACTTATATTAAAAAAACTTGATGTGGCCCTCGAATCAAAAAGTTTGCCCACCCCTGTTCTAACCTATGACCCACCTGTGGGTGAGGGTCTTCAATAGGCTCCAGAAGACGGGCTGAGGAAGGGCTCCTCGTGACCCTCCTTTGCGCGCGTGACTTCCATCAAATTGAATGAACTTGCTCTTGATTCCATGGATGAAGACCGCCTCCAAAGCACAACACAGCAGGTTAGCCTCCAGGTCCTCACTGGTGACCGCCGTGTCTGTGGTGATGTAACGCTTCTGCAGGACTTTTAGGGTCCGTGCAATCTTTTCCTTGATCCACTGAGGAGAACAGAGAGGTTAATATTGCTCTGTTATGCATCTGTTTTTTTCCTGGACTAGATGTTAAAACAAAATAACCAGGAGGGAAATACCAGGAAACACATGAAATCTATAGTTATCGATTTAGTGATAAGAGGCTTTTTTGACCCAGTCAAAACCAATAATAAAAATGAAGGGTCTGTAATTTGCATTGATTTGCATCACCGGTGTAAGATCAGGTTACTGGAACCATTGTGACATCTAGGTCAGCAGACCAAATCATGAAAAGCTTTTGCTACAACAAAACAAAGATGTGGAGTAAGCATTGCGCAGCCTCTTGAGGATCTAAGACAAGAGGGCAGAACGGACATGTGAATATGAGCCATATCTACAGACAGACTGTCACCTGATATCAGCTTGATTGACTACATATGAGCCAAAGCACTGACAGTCAAAGTTGTGGAAACTCAACATAGCACCTTTGAGTCAAATGACATGAAAATAGTAGTCATGTTTCTGAGAGGAATGAAGCCAAGATTACTAGAAAACTAGTTTGCCTTTAAGAGGCGGTCATGATAAGCACTTAGTCATGACGACTAGATGTATGAGGAAATTCTGGCTCAGATCAGATCTTGTTGCAAGTGTATAAACAGCAAAACACATACAAAATCTATCTGTATCTACCTCTTTAAAAAGACGGTTTAGTTCTGAAACAATTACTTTCTATGTGTCAATATTAATATACAAAAACTGCTATTTCATATTCTGGGTTGCTGAAATTAAAAACTTGAAAGATCACTTTTATATCCTATTTTAGATCCCTTTGTAACACATCATCAAGTGTACAAATGTGGGTTCATATGCGATAAATTCATATGCGATAATTTGTGGTGATCATACACAGAAAACTTTAAATAAAAAACTTACCAATTTAGTATCATTATCATTTTAGTTGGAAAGGTATGCATCCTGAAAATGATATGAAGATTTGAATTTATATGTATTTAAAATTGTTTAAACATTACTAGATGTAAAAAAGCATGTGTGTGTGTATGTACGTATATGTATTAGGGCTGCACGATTATGACAAAAATCATAATTGTCGATTATTCCCTTGAAATTGTAATTGCGATTGTTAATTACGATTATCATGATGATGTTTATACCATTGTTTGATGCAACTGCATGCCGTATTTTTATATGAAAATAAACAAGCTGAAAACACTCTAACTGAAAAAACTTTAGTGCTTTTCTATAGTATTAAGCCTCAAATGTCAACTATACATCGGATTTGTTTCTTCTTTAAATTATAAAAAAAGTAAAAATATGAATGTTTATAATGTTATACTAAAACTAAAACTAAAACAATGGAAAAACCCTTAAGATAACATGTAGAAAGAAAAAAACATATCTTAAGCACGCAGAATAACATAAGTGGACTTTGAACGATTAATTGCCGCTTTGAACGATTACGTAATTGTGGCATCCATAATTGTAATCGCGATTAGAAATGAGATTAATTGTGCAGCCCAAACACGTATATTTTGTATGATAAAAAGGCCAAGAATATGTATATGTATTAGGGGTGTAACGGTACACAAATATGACAGTTCGGTACGTACCTCGGTTTTAACGTCACGGTTCGGTATGATTTCGGTACAGCAGGGGGAAAAACTAAACTTTTTATTTTTTATTTTATTTGTATTTATTTTATTCAAAGTGACAGTGAAAACATGCATACTGTTACAAAATATTTCTCTTTTAAATAGATGTTCATTTGAACATACCAGCACGTTTCTGAACCGTCCCAGAAGCGGCTCGCTAAGGCGTTTATACAACGATCTGTCATGCCACATAAAAGACGGTCAAAACGCCATTTATTATTTGAATTTCCTGAGAAGAAGAGAAGAAAAAAAAATAAAATAAAAACTGTATTCGTGCAGTACACATGCGTACCGAACCGAAAGACCCGTACCGAAACGGTTCGGTACGAATACGTGTACTGTTTCACCCCTAATATGTATATATGTTTACATATATTTATATTTATACATGTTAGTGTGTATATTTTTGTACAGGTTGCATTGCTGGTGTTTGTTTTGTTATCGAAACTCAGAAGAACTAAAGAGCTAACAAACAGTTGCTTAGGTAAATATATAGCACAAAAAAAAAAAATCTGATATCCGTCAGAACATTGAGACTGTCCATTAAGCCTTGCAGTGTAAATATAGCTGTTGAATTTGAACAGTTTTGTTAAATCCCTCATCTTGCTTTAACTATGCATTTCTGTATGTGAACTGAATACAAAGTACTACTGAACTACAGTTAATAGCAAAGGCAAATAAAGAGGAAATGGCCAGAAAGAAATCCTTATCTCTTGAGCAGACACTTCTCTCATGAAGGCAATACTTGTCTGGTTTCCATTCTGTGTGCGGTCTGACTTCTACAAGACAACACGCAAACTGTAGCTTCTTATAAACTTGTTTTAATAAACTGTATTAGAGCAGATAGAAATGGTGCTTACATGCAAATGACATGAGCTGTGATAAAAGAAAGCATTTTAACATTTATCAAATGACATGCATCATCTTTTTTCAGCACCTGGGAATCCAGGTTCCAACAAATTGCATTACCTCTACCAAGAACCTGCTCAACGGGTTTCAAGAGATATGAAAGGTTTCGTATCAATGACCTTGTAATGTCCACAATTCAAATAATCTTCAAAAAGATGAGGAAGTTACAAACCTGTTTTCCATCTCTTGCCTCTGGGCCGCTCTCAGGTGTTTGGGTGGCCAACATGGCTCCTCTAGCTTCAATTAGTCCCACTTCACACACTGCAAAACACACACAGACAAACAACTTTAGGGGAGATTGTAACACAACTGTAAAATTTTTTTGTCTGTCACACGTAGTCAGCGTGACTCAAACTTTATAATATTCCCATTATGCGTTCATCTAAAAATGTATGTGGTTTCAAAATGTTATCGGAGTAAATCTAAATATTTGATTCTGAATCGGAATAAATTAATGGTAGAAAGAGTTGTTGTTACAACCTACCACACCATCACATGGGATGTAACACAAAAAATGTAGCCTATATATATTTGTACATATTGGTAACATTTCCACCAGAAGCAAACATAGAAATACATTACACTCTAAAAACATGTATGTGTATGTGTTACTCACTCTTTTATTTTGTGCCATATTTGCGAATTCAGTAACAGTACAATGGAAAGTGTTACAACAACCCTCTGTGTTCGCTCAGCTATTATGTTTTTTTTAACATGTGGATGAAACGCTTTATGTATATATGTTTTATATTAAACATCACAATCTTCCGATTTAAATGACACCAGCTCTGCATTCTCAGCTCATGTATGATACTGATTTCACCTGAAGATCATTTCTAAGTTGTTAAACTGATGGCGTTACGACTCCCTAAACATGTTTATATAATAAAAGAGGATAGATGCTAGCTTATAAAACACAAAGAGGAGAAGAAGATTAGTATGTTTAATATACTGGCAGTCTTTGTTAGGTAGCAAATAGTGGAAGTGATACACACATCCCTGGCAGTTTCCTCACGTCAATGAAGTACAAATGTATGCCGACATGTTCATTTTACTTTTAAAAAATCCTGAGTCAATGTAGACGTGTCACGCTTGTGAAAAAGAAGTGCACTTAATTGTACTGAATGTGCACTTGTAGTGTACTTCAAATCTGTTCTAACAGATAATATAGTATTAAGGAAATAAAAGGCCACTTAAGTGTACTTAAAGAGAGTACACTTGTTTCTTAAAACACTTAAGTACACTTCTAAAAAGTGCCCTTTGTAATAATGTTTAAAAGTTAAACAAATTAAAATTTTTACTTTAAAGTGCATTTTAAATCATTATGTTTTAATAATCGTTTGTCGGGATTTAAAGAATTACACGTTTTTTATGTGATGACTAACACACTAAGGTTTTTTGTTTAATGTTACGTGTAGTGCGTTATAAAATATTACACGTTTCAATAGAAATTACATTCAAGCACATTTTAGTTGACCATAAATGCCTGTCCGTACACTTAAACCATATTTTAAAGACAACATATGTAATTATAAATTTACATATAAAGATATACTTATTAAACTCTTAAGCTGAATTGCTTTGATATGCATATAAACTATAATATATTTTCATCAAGTTGCAAATAACATGCTGTTAAACGTCAGAAAACGTTACAGTCAGTTCGTACTTAAGTAAACTTTATTAAAGTATATTAAGTACATTTTTAAGTACGCTAAAGTGTGCTTCTTTTAAAAAAGATAAGCGTTTTTGCTGTTAAATGTCAGATAACGTTACATTCAGTTCGTACTTAAGTAAACTTTATTAAAGTATATTAAGTACATTTTTAAGTACGCTAAAGTGTGCTTCTTTTAAAAAAGATAAGCGTTTTTGCTGTTAAATGTCAGATAACGTTACATTCAGTTCGTACTTAAGTAAACTTTATTAAAGTATATTAAGTACATTTTTAAGTACGCTAAAGTGTGCTTCTTTTAAAAAAGATAAGCGTTTTTGCTGTTAAATGTCAGATAACGTTACATTCAGTTCGTACTTAAGTAAACTTTATTAAAGTATATTAAGTACATTTTTAAGTACGCTAAAGTGTGCTTCTTTTAAAAAAGATAAGCGTTTTTGCTGTTAAATGTCAGATAACGTTACATTCAGTTCGTACTTAAGTAAACTTTATTAAAGTATATTAAGTACATTTTTAAGTACGCTAAAGTGTGCTTCTTTTAAAAAAGATAAGCGTTTTTGCTGTTAAATGTCAGATAACGTTACATTCAGTTCGTACTTAAGTAAACTTTATTAAAGTATATTAAGTACATTTTTAAGTACGCTAAAGTGTGCTTCTTTTAAAAAAGATAAGCGTTTTTGCTGTTAAATGTCAGATAACGTTACATTCAGTTCGTACTTAAGTAAACTTTATTAAAGTATATTAAGTACATTTTTAAGTACGCTAAAGTGTGCTTCTTTTAAAAAAGATAAGCGTTTTTGCTGTTAAATGTCAGATAACGTTACATTCAGTTCGTACTTAAGTAAACTTTATTAAAGTATACTAAGTACATTTTTAAGTATGCTAAAGTGTGCTTCTTTTTAAAAAGATAAGCGTTTTTGCTGTTAAATGTCAGAAAACGTTACATTCAGTTCGTACTTAAGTCAGCTTTATTAAAGTATATTAAGTACATTTTTAAGTACGCTAAAGTGTGCTTCTTTTAAAAAAGATAAGCGTTTTTGCTGTTAAATGTCAGAAAACGTTACATTCAGTTCGTACTTAAGTAAACTTTATTAAAGTATATTAAGTAAATTTTTAAGTACGCTAAAGTGTGCTTCTTTTAAAAAAGATAAGCGTTTTTAGCATGGAACTTGCTTAAATTGCAGCAGACTTACCTGGTAGACTCACAACACTAAATTCACAACACTTCAATGAAATATAATACAATATCTCGATAACCCGTAAAAAACTGTTTACATGGTCGAAAATGTAACATTTAATTCTGTATTCTCGTACACAGTCATGAGTTGAGAAACATCCAAACGCCCTTAAATGAGACACGAACAGATACAGACTTTCTTAATGCTCATGAATCCGGCTAAAATGATTAGATTATAAAACAGCAGACAATTCTCCTCATTGATAATAGAATCAGCACAATATAAACTGGTTTGCTCACCATGTTCTGCGTTTGTCTGTCGCGGCGGCTTTGGACAGCCACACGGTCATGGCTGATGTGTTTCCTTTCCTCTTACCGAATCGACACGAGCACGGGTCGTGTGATATCTGTCACTCTCTGAGCCGGGAAAACAGAAGCGGGCAGGCGATATAGATGTGATCGGATCGGCTGACGCGAAAGGCAACATGGGAAATGAACGCAAGGTTCGCCGTGTTCCTGTTGACGACCAGCGCTATTGCGCAACTCTTGCGCAGCATTGAGTGTGTTGAAGACTCCAGCGAGAGACAGGGAACGTCACTGGAAATAAAACAAACAGATTTTCTTATTTTCTTAATGTTGAGTAGGCTATATGTCTGATGGAAATGAACAAAACTCTACACTGTTACAACCAACAAACAGCACAGTGTATTAAAATAGAAAGTAAAGTGAAAGTAAAGAAATGCAAATAATCAATAAAAGTGGCATTTTTCATTAACTCATGAAAAATAAAGCATAAAAATGTAGTTATTTTCTTTTTGTGACGTTTAGGATATTTCACACAGTATCTCAAAAAGTAACCTGTTTCAAAACCGCTAAATAAATTAAAATAACCAACTTGATTACTCACTTATTTATAATTTAACCAGATTTGATTGGCCTATTTTATTTCTGTGGAACTCTATTATCTGTGTTTTAACTCAAGGTAGGCCTATTTCAATTACATGAATATTTGTCAGATTTAGTCAGTCGAAATAGTTTTGAGATTTGATCTAATATTGATTCTCTGGAAATTAGTATTTCGATTTAAGTGTTTTATTTTTTTTTTTGGACACATTAATGTTTTTAGATTTGTTTCTTATTCTGAAGTAAAAAAGATACAACCATATAGTGGCATAGTGGCATGCTTATTATTTTTAATTGAATATTTATTGTAATTAATTGAATTCTTATTTAATAGTTCCATTCCAATTACATTTCAGACTATCTTTGCTTTCATTAAAACCTAGATTGATTGAGTGAAATCATTACATTTTCATTCAGAGTGTTTCTATTATTACAATTAAATATGTAAATATTCATATGCCTGTGGCTAATTATTTTACCTTTCAGATGAATCTCTTTTGGGATTCTGTTTCGTCTGTCATTGGTTATTCAGTTTGTCGACTAAATTGTCAGAATAAAATGACACTAATATATATTATTATTAATAATTTCAAATAAGATCAAAAGTCATTCTATGAAAGTTTGTCCGGGGTGGGAGGCATCTAACCCTCTTTAAAATATTTGACATTTGTGTTATAACAGCTAAATTAGCAAATGTTTATTAACGACACATTGGCTGTTGTATCATGCTAAACTTAGCCTATATCTAAATGTGCTACGATTTAAAAGTGAATCCACATTGTTCTTAACGGGGGCATCTTCCTCATATCTTTACCTTTTTTAACATTTATTTAGCCCACGGTATTACTCTTTTCAGCGACTTTTTTTGTAATAATCGTAATATAACATTTAATGTGCATTCGGTGATGAAATGATGATGTGTCGTCACATCTTGCTTTGCGACGTCACTCGCTTTCGATTTCACTCTCTCAGGAATTCCGCGCGGGAATTTCTTTACTGTGAGAGTCAAAGTTCACACTCTCGCGCAATCTGCCCTTTCGTCTTCTTTAAACCATCGAACGTAAATACATGTATAAACAAAGAAACAAAGAAACAAAACAAAAAAAATTAATAATAATACCCCCAGAAATGACTAAAATGAATTAATAAACAAAATATACACGTTATAGTTAGCCTATAAAATATTTTTATTTGCAAGATAGCCTACATGATTGCTTTTTATATTTAAAAAATACCTTTTCTGCACAAAAACAACAATTTATTTATTTGAAGGCAACTTTTTTTTGTTAGTCTATGGTTCCGCACTCTATTTTTAAATTTTATTTTTCTCTATTTTACTATTAGCAATAGGCCTTGTGGTGTTTACTCTGTATTTATTCTATTATAATGTATTTCTGTTTGTTATTTTTGTTTTGTACATATAGCCTAATGAGAGCTGACTGTATGAGAATTCCAGTCTACCTGCTCATAGCAGTGAAACACTCCGCATTCCCACACTAACACAAAAGCGGTTGCGTAATTGTGGTGTACCTATATATCGCTCAGGTGTGCGCTGCTTACAACTGGAAAGTGAAAAGGGTGCAATCCCCGAAATGCGCGCATATAAACGGCGGACAGAATGGAGGAGAGGAGATCATACACCAGCAAAGAACAAGCGGACATCCAGCATTAAAACATTAAAGCTCATCAGCTCATCAGTCTTCTGTAGACACTCAACACGACAGAATGGACCTTGGTTTGGTGCAGCTCTGCCTCCTCCTTCTGTCAGCGTGCGGCTTCAGCTCTGTGCTCAGCTGCAGATGGATAAAACACAAGTTTCAGCACCACCATGGAGTCTCTTTGGATCTGATCAGAAAGATGGTGAGTTTTACAGGCTTTTTAAACTTCCATGGAATATATCTTACAATTTTTATTTTAATTATTTTAATTATTATTATTATTATTATTATTATTAATGGTACTAGCAAGATGTACCTAATAAAGTGGCCAGTGAGTGTATATATGTCATGTTAATTGCAAAAATGCTAAAGTTTATTAACCCTATATATTTGCATGAATTTCTAAGGTCTCTAAATGACAAACGCGATCAAAACATTGCTGAAAAACATGTCGTACACTATTTACTACATGCCTTCTGTTGTCTAAATGATAGTCTACTCTTTAGTATAATTGTAAAAATGTCCACCTTCAGGTTGTGGTTTTTGTTTCTTTTTGCTCTGAAATCTTTACTGATTTTTATAAAGTAAGCGTTAAAGTAAGTTTTATATTGTTAGTAATATTTCAAGATGAACATTTCCTGGACTGAAGCAACTTACATTTACTTGGTTATCCAGACATCATTGTTTTTTTAGAAGAAAAAAAAATCATGTTAAAATATTAATATCAGATATGATCATCAGGTTTTTGAGGAACATTTATTTATTCATCTCTCAATCATCATTGTATTGAATTTTGAAACTACAGAGCTTTCATTATAAATCTAAGCATTTACAGTAAATATAATCTTAATAAGACATATTATTGGGAGATATAGAGTGATAACTGATATACTTTCTCTTATAAATTCATATAATATAAATATAGATTTAACCAAAAAATGTCAACTACAACCACATGCAGTTGCAATAGCTAACCATTCTGTTCAAAATAATCACTTCATTAAATCTGTTTCTGAATATTTCATAGGGTGAGAAAATCCATAATGACCATGAGGATGTCAACCCTATCCCATATGAACTGATCAATAACCACAGAAGAGCAGAGGTTAGTAAAAATTATTATTATTATTATTACACAATAAGCTGTGCTGTTGATTATGAATCTATATTCATATATATGTATACACATATTTTTTGTTCTTCTCAGCCTGAGAAACAGATCCTGTTCGTCATTCAGGCTCTGATGGAGATCACTGTCCTCTTTGACGATGTCGTCGTCCCCTGGGATGCTAAAAAACGGGAAGATTTCTTAAATGTCATGCATGAGGAGATTGATGGACTGCGCTCATGTGTAAGTACACTGTAAATATACACACACACACACACACACACACACAGACACACACACACACACACACACACACAAACACACACACA